TACCCCTTAGCCATCACTCCCCATTCCCATCTCCCCCAGTCCAGAGCAATACTAATCTACTTTCTGTCTCTATGGTTTCTCCTATTGTGGACTTTTCATACAGATAGAATCACACAATACAAGAAGACATTTTTACATAGCATGATATTTTCAAGGTTCAACCATGTTGTAGGAATGGTTGAATATTATACTGTGTGGTTTTACCACATTTAGTTTATCTATTAATCAGTTTATGAACATTTGGCTTGTTTCTACTTTTTGACCCTTATGAATAAATGCTGCTATGAACTTTTGTATATAGTTTTTGTATACCCATTTTCAAATCACTTGGGTATACACGTTAAGAATGGAATTGCTAGGTCATAAGGTAGTTCTGTATTTAACATTTTGAGGAATTACAAAACTGTTTTTACATTCCTACCAGCATTGCATGAGGGGTCTAATTTCTCCACATCTTTGTCAACCTTTGTTATTGTTCAACTTTTTTACTTTAGCCATCTTAGTGGGGGTTAAGTGGTATCTCATTATGGTTTTGATTTGCATTTCTCTAATGACTAACAATTTGAGTGTATTTTCTTATGCTTATTGAGTACTCAAACATTTCCTTTGGATTAAAATCTATTTGAATGCTTTGCCCTTTTTAAATTGGGTTGTCTCTTTATTGTTGAGTTGTAAGACTTTTTTTAAAAAATAACTGTTTTTAGTATATTCTGAACACTAGACCATTGTCGGATATATGATTTGCAAATATTTTTTCCCATTCCATAGATGATCTTTCTCCTTTCTTGATGGTATTTGATACACAAAAGTTTTAAATTTTGGTGAAGGCCAATTTATCTATTTTTTTTTTGATTGCTTGTACTTTATGTTTCTTTATCTAAGAAACTGTTGCCTGATTTACTCCTATAATTTCTTCTGATTTTATAGTTTTAGCTCTTACAGTTAGGTCTTTGGTTCATTTTCGCTTAATTTTTGTATATGGTATGAGGTAGGGGTTCACTTTCATTCTTTTGCATGTGGAAGACTAGTTGTCCCAGCACCATTTGTTGAAAAGACCATTCTTTCTCTAATATAATGTCTTGGCATTCCTGTTGAAAATCAATTAACCATTAGTGTGTGGATTTATTTCTGGATGCTCAGTTCTATTCTATTCACCTGTAGGTCTCTTCTTATGCCTCTACCACACATTATTGATTACTGTGGCTTTGTAGTACATTTTCAAATCAGTAAGTGTGAGTCCCTTCTATTTCCTCTTCAAGATTGTTTTGATTATTCAGGGCCCTTTGCAATTCCGTATGAATGTTAAGATTAGATTTTCCACTTCTGCAAAAAAGGCCATTGGGATTTTGATAGGAATACACTGACCTTGTAGACTGTTTTGAGTCATATTGCCATCTTTAACAATATTAAATATTTCAATTCATGAATACTGAATGTCTTTCTATTTATTTAGATTTTCTTTAATTTCCTTCAGCAAGCTTTTGTTAGTCTTTAGTTACAAGGCTTATCCATCTTTGATTAAATTTATTCTTAAATATTTTATTCTTTTTGATGATATTGTAATATTTTTTCTTAATTTTCAAACTGTTCATTGCTACTGTGTAGAAATACAACTGACTTTTGCATGTTGATCTTATATTTTGCAATCTTGCTGAATTTGATTATTAGGTCTAAAAGAGTTACTTTGTGTGTGTGCAGAAGGGGTTCTTTAGGATTTTTAATATATAAGATCATGTCATATGCAAATAAAGACAGCTTAATTCTTCTTTTCTAATTTGGATGACTTTCATGTTATCTTCTTGCCTGATTCTCCTGGCTACAACTTCCAGTACAATATTGGATCAAAGTACAAGAGTAAACATTCTTGTTTTGTTCATGCTCTTGGTGGGGGAGGGGAGCATCTTTTGCCATTAAGTATGATGCTAGCTGTGAGTGTTTTATAGATTCCCTTTATGAGGTTTAAGAAGTTCCCTTTTATTACCAATTTGTTGAGTGTTGGATTTTGTCAAATGCTTTTTCTGCATTTAATGAGATGATCATGTGTTTTTTGTGTTTTGGGTTTTTAAAAAAACTTATTAATATGGTGTGTTACATGAATTGGTATTTGAATGTTGTGCCAACTTTTCATTCCTGGGTTAAATCCCACTTGGTCTTGGGATGTACTTCAGGATGTTGTATGTTGCTGGATTTGGTTTGTTAGTTCATTGTTGAGAATTTTTGCACCTACATTCATTAGAGAAATTGGTCTTTGGTTTTTTTCTTATAAAAGCTTTGGTCCTGGTATTGGAGTAATACTGGCCTCATAGAATGAGTTGGGAAGTAAGTCTTCCCTCCTCTTCTATAGTGTTTGAGGTATTGGTGCTAACTCTAAATGTTTGGTAGAATTCACCAGTGAAGATACTTGTTTCAGGGCTTTTTTAAAAACTTATTTTTTTAATTTTTATTTATTTTTGGGGGGAGAGAGAGACAGAATGTGAGCAGAGGAGGGGCGAGAGACAGGGAGACACAATCTGAAGCAGGGTCCAGGCTCTGAGCTGTCAGCACAGAGCCTGATGTAGGGCTGGAACTCACAGACTGTGAGATCATGACCTGAAGTCCCATCCTTAACTGACTGAGCCACCCAGGTGCCTCCAGGGCTTTTCTTGGTGAAACATTTTTTATTATAACTTCAGTTGCTTTACTTGTTATAAGTCTATTCAAATTTTCTATTTCTTTTTGAGGCAGTTTGGGTAAGCTTAGGTCTTAAGAGGAATTTGTCCATTTAATCTCTCATGTGCAGATTTATCTACTATAATTCCAGACACTATTGGTTAGAAAAAATTTGAAAAATGAAGAATTATGATTTATATTAAATAAAAAGCCAAATATTTGACTTTTTTAGCTTAAGTACCCTAGAAGAATCTAGTGCCACTTTGATAATAAGAGATTTGAGAACTAACTCTTGAGGTAATTTATGCAAAGTAGAAATGTAAAACGTTTCTAAATGGTTTGCCCTAAGAGGAAGATCAGAAAATTGTCAAATATAGGCCCTTGCATTTGTGAATTCAAAGTGAATTTAGGGGGTGATGGCTGTGGAGGAGGGCACTTGGGATGAGCACTGGGTGTTATATGGAAACCAACTTGATAATAAACTAAGAAAAAATAAAGAAACTGTAAGGAACACAAAAAGCTACACAAAACAAATAATAATTAATTCTGTGAAATTTAAAATAAAACATAATTGAATCTAAAAACAAACAAAAAAAACCAAAGTGAATTTAGTTTATTAATGAATAAAAAAAATTTTCCTCAATAAACATTATAATTATTTTTAAAATTTACTGATGGGTTACCAAAGAAATGAGATTCTAGATTGAGCTCTTTTCTGAGATCTGGGTAATTCATGTTCATTGAATTAGTTTTCTATTCCCTCTTTCTCTGTCATCTTCTGTAGAAAACAAAGAAAAGTAAATGATGGGTTATAAAGTAATTCCTCCTCAAAATTCAAATTGATAGCAATAATGTTAATAAGTCAATTTTATATCAAAAAGAAAGCTTAAGGTAATTTTAATGTAGAAATGTTTTCATACAGTCCGTTTTTAACCACTTTAGGCAAATTGTTTAATACTAGTATATATGTATATTTGTTTTTTGGAGGATGCCTCACTGTTTCTTTTTAATATCTTTTTTTTGTCTTAAGATAGGGTATTTATTTGAATCTATTTAGTTTAAAAAGTCAGTATTTAAGTGAGAGTCAATCACCTCTTTTTCATTCTGTTTATCTTGCCTCATTAACCTTTTTAAAATATATAATTATTTAATATTTAAAAAAATTGGACTTTACCAGGGATTTTGTTACATAGATAGTACATGTCTCTCTTCTTATCTGGTATACTCAGGCATTTTTTTAAAAAATATTAAATTGTATATAGAGAAAGAGAGATGACAACTTAGCTTAAGTGATATAACATAAGTGATATTGCATAATCATGTAATAAACTTACCAGGTTATTGGCTGCACAGCCTAATCTATAGGCATATGACTGAAGTAGAAAATCAATTCATCCCAAATTCATACATCACAAAGGATTCACAGTAGCTGAGGCATCACTGCAGGTGGGAAAGTAGGAAGATGAAGCTTTTCAGGTACTCAATGAGGAGCTCAGAATATTTTTTCTAGAAGATGGAGAACCATGGGTGGATCCTGGTCAGTGGTGTGATGTGTTCCCTCTCGGAGCTCTGTGGAGGTGGACTTGATCAGGCAAGTCTTGTCTTTTCAAGGAGGACACCCTTAATCTCGTGGTGGGCTTTTTGAGAAGCTGGTCACAGGGTCATTTTGCCTAACTTTTCCATCCAGACCTGAAAATTAAAGTTATTCCGGTGAGAATCTGGAGCACAGTCTGGGTCATATTACATAAACCAGGTTGGACTCTGAAAAATGGAATGTCCTATTTTTATACATTGCTAATAAAAACAAGCTTATGACTGCTCTCTGAAAATTCTAGGCAATACCCCAGCCTTTCGTTGTGTTAGTTTCTAGTACATTCGTATTAAAATGTTCTCTTTTTAGAATGGTTCACAGCAAAGGGCACCACTTAATTTACTTTATCTTTTGCATTCTGTAATGTAATACACATCTGTATTTCACATAGCTTTTTCATCGCAACTTTTCGACCCCTCCGCTGTGGATAGGTATCACTATTCCCATTTTAAAATTCAAGAGGCTGATGCTCAGATTAAGCAGCTTGGCCTTCATTACAGAAATAGCAGAGTTGGAATTTGAAGCCGTGTCTTTCCAACGCCAAAGTGTTCTTTTCCCCCAGTAGATCACCCTCTCTCCTTGATAGAACTTGTCTAATTGCAATGCCATTTTTCCTCCATACACCCCTTTTCCTAAACATTTTCTCCATGTCGTCTGAAGGCATTGGGTGAATTAAAAATCTGCTCATCTCTGGGTTAGGATAGCTCAGCTGATTTAATTGTTTAGCTTATGTAGCCCCTTGTTTCCTCCACAATAACAGGGTAAAGAAGAGCCAGAGGAGTTCTGTCCTCCAACACCTTACATCACTCTGCAGACAATTGGCAGTCAGGAGAGAGGCAGCTGCCACACTCTTCAGATATCTCTCTATTTAAAGTTCAAAGAGACGCTGCATGACAACAACAAAGAGGTGAGCGTGGCCCTGACCAACCCACCCAGCAACAGGAAGAATGGCTGAAAAAGGTAAGATTTAAGGCATCAGACCCTCTTGGCAAAACAGGTCCAAGCTCTCTGGTTTATTTTATATTCCCCCGTATTTAGTATTTCTCAGTTATTCTTAAGAATGCGGCATCTCTGCTAAATGGGCCTTAATCATATATGTTAGCATGGCTACAAAAAAGACATTCAATGTACAGTTTATGGATCATGTCTATACATTACGTATAGTTTAAAAAGATCAGACAAACAAAAGAGCTTAATTTGTTCATGCTTGTTTTGAAAGAGGACTTAGAAGTCAGTTATTCTCCAGTGTTGTACAAGATTTGAGGTATTGTGGTGTGCTGGATCAGAATTGAGGACAGATCTGCTACTGAACGGCCATGTGAGTTAGGGGAAGCCCCTCTACCTCTCTGGGACTGTTTTCTGACTCTAAAATGAAAATAAATAAAATGGACTTAGTCATCTCTGACATGCCTCAGATCTGAATTTCTTACTTTCTGGTTTTAAAATGTGTATTATATTTAAGAAAAATGATTGACTCTAATATGACAAAAGGGGCTGAATGTATATTGTATCCAAGAAACACTTTATTACAATACCAATAGGAACTGTTTGCTCTTCATCTGCATACCGAGATATGCAGTATTGTCATCATTTCCATTTTACGGATAGGAAAACTGAGGCATAGCCAAGTATAGTCACTTGCCTGTGATCACATACTAGAAAGTGGTGGCAGCAGATTCTGAATGCAGACAGTCTTGTTTCAGAGCACAGTGCCCTTAAGGATACTTCCAGGTATAACCGTTTGGGCATGCTCAGAATTGGACAGAGAGAACCATTTTGAAATCACTCTTCATATTTAAAAAGAAGTTTTGTACTTGTTTGTGCCATAATGTAAGTGACCTATGCAAAGTATGTTGTGTTCCTATATATTCCTGTTTCAAAACAATGCTACAGATTATGGTAAAACTTAAAATATTCGTGTTAAAAGAACACACATGCAGGCATACTCAGTGTTGAAATGCACAGTCAATTGTACTGTTTTACAATGAGTAATAAATAATGAGATATATACCTTTAGGGCTTTATTATATGTAAATTTTAGAATTGTATTAGAATATGCTTGTATAAGGTACTTACAAATGCTCAACTAGAATATTGGTATTTTTAAGTTCTTTGAAACTGGGAAAAAATGTGAAATCACATATATGAACAGTTCAAAAATATTACTGCTATGTACTTCCACTGTAATGGCACCTTAATTCATAAAGGCTTTCATCCAAATGAGAGTAAAGGGCATATCATAATATTTGCCTTATCCTTAAAGTGATACCACAAGATAGGTAAAGAGAAAGGTTTTTTCACTGAGTGGTTAATGTTTTGCTCAAGGTCACAGAGAGATGGAGAAGCAAGGAAAACCCATTGAATTTGTGAGAGTTAAGAGACATTCCAACATTCCTAGAAAGATAGATTTAAACTATTAAAATTCATTTTAACTGCACAAAGTTTGCTTTTATAAGAGGGCCTCCTAATTTTAGAAGCGTCTTTTTTCCTGATGATTTTGTTTTAACAGCACATATAAAAAAAAACTTCACTTTTTTTTAAGTGATAGAAATGGTAACACGCAATTGCTAAGAATATGTGTTCTCTTTGTTAGCTGGTGGCACAAAACTAATTGTGTTTTTCAATCAAGACTATATCTGAGTCCTTAGCGCAGGGATGTTAATTCTATATGATGCCTTTTTGTGCTCTTTTTGGATCTTTTTGTGTGGTGTGCCTGTGCAAGTAATATTTAAAAAATGATAATTTTATAAATTGCTTTTTTCAGAGAAGGGTACAAATAGACATAGGGGGAATCATTATTACAATGTCTTTTATGTATGTTGGATCAGTGTTGGTTGCTCCATTGAACATGTTAACAAAATAGAATCTCTTCTCTAATCAAGAATGATCATATAAAGTATAATGCTTTTCTTTTCCTATGATACTTAGGATTAAAGTCAGCTATGAAGGCTAACAACAATTTTCAAAAACTTTCCCTATGTTATGATTATTTAGTTTAGAGGGAATTGCCTCGAGAGTCATTATCGATTATTTCTTTGTAAACAGCTGCTCTCTGTGCTCTTGAACAAATGCAGGGATGTGTTCTGTATACACTAGGCACACACACAGGAAGGTTAGAGTTTGCAAAGCCCTTACACATGCACAGTATCATTTGATCCCCCCAACAACTCAGGGAGGTAGATATCACAAGTTTCATTATGTCCACAAATAGGGAAGTTCAAGCTCAGAGTTGCCCAAGGTCACATAACTATGAAAGGAAGGCCTATCGTTTGAACACAGATCTTTCGTTTCAAATACCCAGCTGAGTCCCACATACCCTTTGTAAAACAGAAGATAATCATATCTGACAATGACTAAAGAGAGTATTTTTTTCTCTTGATATGATCACATTCCTTTTATTCTTTTGATTCAGACGATGTTATGCCAAAATGACCTACCTACTATTTTCTTTTCTTTATTTTTAAGCAGAATCTACAATATCACGCCTACTGGTCCCTATTCTTCTCTTGATTGGCTGGATTGTGGGCTGCATCATAATGGTTTATGTTGTCTTCTCTTAGAAAGGTAAAGTTTTCAAAAATCAACTATGTTTATTCATAAAGACCATACGTTACTCCAGAAATCATCTTTTTCTGTTTTACTAATGGAACATTTTATCATACAGGCAAGAAGACTTCAGACTGACGTCATCTAGAAGAATTAAGAAAAACATGAACATGACAGATTATTAAACATTTCTCATGTAAATAATTGCAATGTTTGACATCACTTTCTAACCTTAGATTTTTAAACTGGTGCTTTGGTATACATAAGAATCTCTTCAGGAACTTTTTAAAATTCCAACTACAAATAAAAACTATCAGAAAGTATAAATGAATTTCCCTATAACTTGGGAATAGGAAAAATGTTCCAAACTCTGACTAAAAATGCATAACCAATAGGGGAAAGTTTGGTAAATTAAATTACGTTAAAAATTTTGGGGGATGCCCACCCCCCAAAAAAACTATAGAAAAAATGAGCTAGAGATAAGTAGAGATCATTATTCACAAAAAACAGATGAAATATAAACTTGCCCTTCAACTCTTGCTCATAATAAAAGAACTGTAATTAATACTGCACCACAGAACCACTGCTCACCTCGCAGCTGGGACAAAACAAAGATATTTGATGATATATATGTGAGAAAGGCTATGGGGAATAAAGCATGCTCATATACTGACGTTAGAAATTAAAAATGGTACAGAATTTTTAGGGGTGTTTGACAGTGTCTATCAGAATTAAATATGTGTTTAACTTCTGACTCAGCCATTCCTCTTCTAAGAATATTGGATTTCCCATGGATGCACACTGGTGAAAGTGCAAAATGGCCTCTGCACAGGCCTATTCCTTAAGGCATAATCTGTTAGAGCAAAAACCTGGAAACAAGCCCAGGGTCCATTAATAAGGGACTGACTGAATAAACTGAGTTCTAGCTACATAATGTGTTACTTGGGCTCTGTGGAAAGGAGTGAAGGGAGTCTCTGTATCCCGATGTGCTGTCATCCCCAGGTCAGAGTGTTGAATGAAAAAAGCCAGGTACAGAATTACTTATGCTACCTTCCTGTTAAATGGAAGGGCTATATCAATATGCACTTTCTTATTCAAGGGCTCAATGTTCTTTTCTCCAGCACTTTAAAACAGAAGGTAATGTTTTAAAGGAGCAATAGAAATGAATTTTTCTGTATTTCCATGTTTCCACATCCAACCAGATCATTTTCTCAGAGAACAAAGAAAGCTTAGCGCAGTAAAAAAGAACAAAAATTTTGGAAGTCAGATTGTTTTATCCTAAGTTGGAAATCCTTTGAATAGTTCATTAATCTCTCTAACCTCAGTTTTCTCAACTATAAAAGAGGGATAATAATATTCTCATGGAATTGTTTTGAGGACCAAGGATCTAAACCTGCCTGATCTGAATCAACTGAGTCATTTGTTAAAAATGCAGATTCTTGAGCCCCTTCTCTAAGAGCTCATTTTGGTAGGTCTTGAGAAAGCCTATTAAAAAATCAATTCTCCAGGTGGTTTTTATTATCACAGAAGTTTGGAAGACACACTTATAATGTATGTGTATATATAAGCATTCCTCTGGATACATACAGACATTGATCCACGACAGCTTATATTGGTAAGTCCCAACCACTTTTCTGTTTATTGCTGCAGCAAAAAATTAGCACTTATTATATTATATTATATTTTTAATTACATGAAGTATAATGATACATAATACTGTTTGTCCACTATTTTCACATATGTGAATTTTATTTGCTTAATTAAACCTAAGCCCTTTATAGGTGAATCCATTTCTTACCTTTACAACTTATAGACTATAGTTCAAAATAGACAACTACTAAATATGAACCAAACGGGTAATTACTTCCCCCCTACAATATTCCTAAATACACAATGTTGATGTTCTAAGTTTGAACTTTAAAGATGTTGAAGCAATTTAAGTGGAATTGAAATTTTCAGAGAAGTGACTAGTGAGCTGTGAATAATACACCCAAGTAGATGATTGCGTACCGACCTTACAAGGCATAGAAGCTTACTTATATGTTTTTAAATTTCCCAAATCTTCAGTTTACATTCTGTCAAAGTGCAGTTACACTTATTTGAGAAGAAGAGTATGAAGGGTTAACTGTTTCTTGACATTTTGATTGAATTAGTGCCCAGCCTTACATCATCACAACACCCACCCTAAGCCTCTCCTTTACCCCAAAACCTGTATTGATATCAGAACTGAGAAATACTCCTTTCCTAATACCTGTTAGGACATAAAATATAAAAAACTTTAAAGAAAGCTGTTTATCCTTCTCTGTGTCTGGGAAAGGTGACAAGTTCCTCTGAGTTTTGAAACGTTGAAGGAAACTCCTTCTGAGCTACCAAGCCCAGTAGGGCGGAGAAAATTCCCAAGGATAAGTCCTGGAGGAGAGGTCCCTGTGCACAAACAGGTTTCCAAGTAATATGCATCTATCGATCTCATAATAAGATAAATCTGAATTTCTCTTTTTTTCCTGAGGAAATTTCCTATTTTTACTTATTTATTATTTGTTTTATTTACTGTCCTTTATTTTTGCTTATTGCAGTTTCTCAGACATCCCTGTCCCACCCCCCCCCCTTTTCTTTTTGGACAAGCACAATAGTTCCACTGAAAACATAAATATACATTAGCCTGAGGTTCGTTTAGAGGAAAGAAAGAAGAACATCAAAAGCAGAATATTTTGAGTTGGTAATTTCCCAGAGAATGAGATGGATAGATGTTTTATTCCGCTCTCCTTTGAAAGTGATTTCTTGTTTTGCAAAGTGAGATAGGTGTGCAATTTCTTACAAATCATCTGAACAAATCATGAGTGGGCACAGAGTGGGATTTTTTTCTTTTCTTTCTTTTTTTTTTTTTTTTTTTGGAAGGAGAGAAATATCCCAGGGCTTGAGATTTGGGCCATTACTGAGATTTAAGACCATTTTCAGTAATTTCCCTGGGCTGGGCATACACACCCTTATACATTCAAAATTCCAAATGACACATATATAGAGCCGATGAAGTTATTTTTAGAGCTTATGCCTATGACTATTAAAGGAAATAGGATATTGATTAGAATCTTGATGCTGAATGAAATAGGGTCATGGAGAGATTGTTTTGAGTTATAGGTTACCTGCTCTGTAAAATTGGCTCAGAAATGGAGAGAAAATGGAAACAGGCTTAAAAAGTGGTTTGCATATTGATGTGCTCAAAGCCTCTAACCTGGCATCTCATTTGTTTTCTCTTGTGTCTACCATGTGAAGATATACTCAGGATAGGATGTATTTGCATTTAGAAAATGCAGTCCCTTAGTCTAATCAACACAGTGATCTCATCAGGATGTTATAGACATTGGGCATATTCCTCATTTATCTTGCTAAAGGTAGAAACTTGCTTTGGAGCCCGTTGACATTAGATGGAGAGATTGCTTTGGACCTCTTCAAGCATATGGCCAGATAAGCTCAATTTTGTTTTTCCTGTCATTTTCTGCTCTTATCTTTATTTAATACTCTCTCTCACTCTCTTCCTATTTCCCTGTTATATGTAACCAATGTTTCTGGTCTCAGTAGTACATGGGGAGTAATGACATCACCTTAATATCAATAATTCCAACTTTCTTGGCTCTTGCAACCTGCTGCTGAGGAAGCCAGGAAGGTCTTGTGTGGCTCACATGGGCTTATGAATATGTCCCCTGCTCTAGTCACCACATCTCCTCTCCAGGACCCAGCTGTGTCTTGAAGGCACTGTGAGTGTTTTCCCATTTCCTCCATCTCTGCCACGGCAGCTCTCACTGGGCCTGTATGCTGGTCTGTGGGCAAGTTGCTGTTTGTGGAGTTCTAAAACAGTGCTGCCTAATGTCATGTGTGCCTCAGGGCTTAACTAAATAGTTCTTTTAGTTTTTATTTTCAGCCTCCCCTCTCACTCCCTAAGGCCCAGGCACACATCCAGGGCAGGGCCAGACAGACTCAAGTGACACCTGCCACACTGAATTCACAATCACTGGGTCAAGTTCCTCAAGCCTGACTTCTTTGAGAAGTTCTCCCAGGAGTCTTCCTCAAAGTTACATAAGCAGGCTTTAGTTTATTTGCCATGTCAGGATGCCAGACATGCCGAGAGTTGTCGGATCTCACTGCCACTTGAGTAACGCATCTCGATTCTCAAGAGTCTTCTGAAACAAATAAGTAGGGTCACTGATAATTAAGACAAAATACTGGTCTCATCTCAATCCGCCAAACAGATTTAAAAACCAGTAGATTGATTAACCATTGGAAGAGCATTACTTTAGAATTCAGTGTTTTTAGACATTATCATCTTGGTAAGCGCTTATCTGACCACCTATACCTTCACACACACACATACACACACACACACACACACAAGCAAATAGGGTTCTTTATTCTTCCTAAGTGAGACATTTTCCCCTTTGCATTCCCCACTAAATGGCAAGCCTTCTTTTTCAAATTGATGTATAGTTGACATATAATATTATATTAGGTTCAGGTATTACAACAAAGCAATTCAACATTTATATTGACTACAAAATATTCACCATGATAAGTATAATAAACTCTTTCAATGTAGGATGTGTGACAATGTAGGATTCACTAGACATGACAGAAAGGTGTCCAATGGATATATATCAAGTGAATGAATGAATCCCTGAGTGTTACCTTTAACCAAACAGCCTCATGAGATATATTAAGAGAGTGAAGCTCTTAGCACGGTGTCTGGCACTTACTACATGCACAACTAATATAAGAGATTATTTTAGTTTATTAATATCACAATTTTCCTTATTACATTATTGCATCTTAACATACATTCTTATTTATCCTGCTGAACAACTCTGTGGAGTAGAAATGATCATGAACTCCATGCTGAAAATAAGCAAACTCTGGAGTACAGAGATATTGAAGACTCACTCATGATTATATAGTTAGTGATTGGTGCAACCAATACTTGAACCCGTATCTTCTGATTTCAAATTACAAATTGTTTTCTACTATACTGTATGATCACCAAATTATAAGACTCCTTTTTTTTTGTTTTGTTATTATTTTTTTTTTTTTTTGAGAGAGAGACACAGCGGGACAGAGAAGCAGAGGGAGAGAGAGGGAGAATCTCAATCAGGTTCCATGCTTAGCACAGAGCCCGACACAAGGCTCAATCCCACATCTCTGGGATCATGACCTGAGGCAAAATCAAGAGTCAGATGCTCAGCCAACTAAGCCACCCAGGTGCCCCTGAGATTCTATACTGTAAGATGTACCAAATTTCAGAGGAAGGAAGTCTCAAATCTATATTTAAAGACTTAACAACTACATTTGTTTCTTCTAGGTGACATTTTATTTTCATGTTCTTGGTCTCCACATTTGAGTCCCATGGCACAACCTCCATTATCTTCTTTCTCTAACCTCCTTTTGGTTTTCTATTCAGTCCCTTTCGATGTAAGATTGTCAAGTTCTTAGATTTCTGTTGTCAGTCCTTTGACATTAAAGGATCTTTGTTCCATAGAACTTAAGGTTCTTAACCAGGTATAGCTGGGCTGCCTACTTTAAATTCTAGCTCCAACTTTGCACATTCTGTTCTGGAAAATAACTACTCTTGTCCCTGGCATACTCCACCCCATTTCCCAACACCTAAATTTATATAACTGCCTCCTTCTAGACTTTAAATTTTGGCTCAATTATGAGCCTCCTCCAAGAAGCAAAGGGAGATGGAAACTTAAAGCTTTCTCTGTATCTACAGATAGAGAGGGTGAGTTAAGAGTTTTCATGTTGCAAGTGCTATAGCAATATTCATGTAAGTGCTTGCAAATAAACATGTAAACCCTAGATAGCAAGGGTTTTTAGATGCTTGCATAGTTCTACTTTGAAGAAGACTATCATTAAAAGAGACATATGTAATAATGGACCTCTTCTGAAAACCTCAAACAATACAAAAAAAATAAAAAGCTCAGATCCACTTCATCTATCTTCAGTGCTGCTCACTTCCTTAGAAGTAACCACTATTAACAACTTAGTGGGTATCTATCCAAAATCATTGCAATGTGTTTACAAGATAGTTTATGTGATATGGTTGTAAAAGTGCTTTCTTACACATTATCTCACTTGATTCTCCTGAAAGGTAGGCATATCCAAATGTGTGAAATGAGTCTTTATTTGGTCAAAGTCCCACAGCTGGTCACCAGCTCAGCAGAACTTAACCCAGGGCTCTTGTATATAGTCTTTCTGCTATAACGGATGCCAACTAGCAGTGTGTGTATTTAAGATGGGTAGAAAGGGAAAGAGCATTGAACTCTGACAATAAATGACTTTGTCTTATTTATGGTGTGGCATGTATCTATATTGCTTACATTTTTATATTACATTAGCCTGTATCTTCATGTAATTAAAGCACTGAACAGCTGTGCTTGCTATGAGATGCTCAAAAATCCCTCCCTTACCCCCTTCTTCTTCACTAAGGCTGAGGCTGATGTATTCATTTTCCTACCAATCTTGATAGAGGTATACAGTGAAGTTGATGTGTCTGATTGTCTGGTTGTCTGGTACATGTCTCTGCAATGTGATGATTTAAAAATTTTCAAGTTTAGATGGAGCGCCTGGGTGGGTCAGTCGGTTAAGCGTCCAACTCTTGATTTCAGCTCAGGTCATGATCTGGCAGTTTGTGAGTTCAAGCCCCATTGTCAGGCTCCATGCTGACAGTGTGGAGCCTTCTTGGGATTCTCTCTCTCTTCCTCTCTCTCTCTGCTCCTCACCCCTTCTCAAAATAAATAATTTAAAGAAAATTACTTAAAAAGAGTAAAAATTTTTAAGCTAAAAGGCTTTGCTTCATAGTCCTGGGGCTTAGCTATGAGGCAGAATGTCCACAAAAGTAATCCTTTATGCACGAAAAAATAGTAAAATTACCTAGGAATAAACTTAACAAAGGAGTGAAAAAAACTGTGCTCTGAAAGCTATAAGACATTGATGAAAGAAACTGGTGCAGCCACTGTGGAAGGCAGTATGGAGTTTCCTCAGAAAGTGAATGATAGGACTACCATAGGATCCAGCAATTGTACTATTGGGTATTTACCCAAAGAATACGAAAACACTAATTCAAAGGGATACATGCACCCTTATGTTTATTCGGCATTATTTACAATAGTCAAGGTATGTAAATGGTACAAGTGTTCATTGATAGAAGAGTGGATGAAGAAGAGGTGGTGTATGTATACAATGGAATATTATTCAGTCATAAGAAAGAATGAAATCTTGCCACTTGTAACAACATGGATAGAGCTAGATGGTATAATGCTAAGCAAAATAAGTCAAAGAAAGACAAATACCATGTATTTCACTCATATGGGAAATTTAAGAAACAAAACAAATGAGTAAAAGAAAAAAGAGAGGGAAAGATAAACCAAGAACCAGACTCTTAACTATAGAGAACAAACTGATAGTTACCAGAAAGGAGATGGTTGGGGGAATGGGTGAAATAGGTGATGGGTTTTAAGAAGTGTACTTGTGATGAGCATTGGGTGATGTATGAAATTGTTGAATCACTTTATTATACACCTGAAACTAATATAACACTATATGAACTATACTGGAATTAAAACACTTTTTAAAAAGTAATTCTTTATAAGACTTTTTTAAAAATTCACATATATGTAAATTCAATTTAGAGAAAAGAGACAAAATAAATCAGTGGCATTTTAGTGATGGCTCCCATCCAGGAATCCAAAGAGGTTTAAAAAGAATGGCAGCAGCAACAGCTCATTACTCTTAGTAGCTTATCTACAGATAGTGACAATGAAAACTTTTGAGAAGAAAAGTGATCTGGTGGGTGAACACATCAGGTAATAAAAGCGAAATAGAGTCCAAGTAGAAAGCAAGGCATTGTGACCCATTATCTCCAGGAAAGCAGATCAGGGTCAAGTGTGGGGCAGAACTCAGTGTTACATTTTCAAACGACATTTGACTTCTCTTTGATATCACATTAAGAAATTTAGCTACTGAGAAGCATTTGAAATTCACTGCCTGAAGTAATTTTCCCTATAAGCTGGACTTTCTGTTTTTAGGAGAAGGCTGTATCCCAGGTAAAGGATTGTGCTCTTCTGATTAATCATCTCAGTCTAAGAAAATAGTAAAAAGAAAGCCCAACTCACTACTCAGCCCTGGAAAAATGGTTGGAATCCCACTTCCCTTGAGATAGATCGTTTATGAGTTTATGACTCATGACTCATAAATGAGTTGGTGACTCATAAATGAGTTGGTGACTGTCTACAGAAAAACTTAAAGAACAGTGAAAATTTAAAGGCTCAGTAATCATCAATCGTGTTGCAGTTAATTCGAATTAAATTAGTCTACTGATTTCCAGCAAAAGTACTTGATGTGTTATGCTTCCCCCCTCCACCCATGTCTGGACCATCCATTGTTTGATAAAAGATTATAACAGAGATTTAGTTCCAGCAAATTGATAAAGTTTTTGTTTTTTTTTTAAACAACAAGACCAAAGACCTCTGTGGTATGAAACATCTTTGCAAATAAGTGTCCAGAACCACATTGTCTTTCATTGTCATCGAGATAGAGACTGGTTTCTCTCAAGTCAATGTACTTTGTGTTTATAAAGCCCACCCCCCTTAAACTAGCTTTCCAACCCATCTTCCTACATCCTTCCAAATCTTACTTATTGCTTTGCAGTAATTCACTACTATTGTTATTGATCCTACTAAGTTTTATCTGAACGAATTTTAACCACGTAGTAAAGAAAATAAAGTCCACATGGGTATAATTGTGTGTGTGTAACCTGAAAAATAAATTTGATAAAGAAGTTTCCTTCCTCTTAAAACTATTTCAAGTGTCTGGATTATTTCTTATTCCAGTAGTTCTCCAAATTTGGTCCCTGGACAAGGAGCATCATCATCATCTGGAAACCTGTTAGACATGCACATATTGGGACCCCAGAGCTTTCCAGTCAGAAACTTTGGAGGTGGGGCCCTGCCATGGTGTTTTAACAAGTCTTTTAGGTGATCCTGATGCATACATGCTCATGTTGGGAAGCTCTGTCTCCAAGCTAATTTCTAAAATATCATCTCAGCTTGGGCATGTATCAGCAGCAACCTAACACAGTCTTTTTTGTGAAATCCATTAATTTCTTAAAAAAATTTTTAATGTTTATTTATTTTTGAGAGACAGGGAAAGACAAAACGAGAGGGGAGGAGACAGATAGAGAGGGAGACATAGAATCTGAAGCAGGCTCCAGGCTCTGGGCTGTCAGCACAGAGCCTGACACAGGGCACAAACTCACAAACCGTGAGATCATGACCTGATCCAAAGTCGGATGCTTCATCAACTGAGTCACCCAGGTGCCCCATAGTGAATTTCTTTTTAAAGTACAGTTTTTTCTCTCTTTCTGAATCTGGCTTTAATTTAATATTAATGAACATTAGTCCATTCATTGATAATTCAGAGGTCACAAAGTCACATGCTTTTGGGGACAGCAAGGTAGTGGAGGTGAGAGACACAAAACCAAAAATAGAGAACAGTGAAAACAATGTGAAAAAATGGTTAGTTCACTCCTGCCTGTTTTCATCCATTGAAATTCATATTTAAAAGAATATTATCTGATAAAACAGACAACATTATAGTTAATAAGACTTAAAAATCTATTTTAAATATATTGTCAAGAAAAGATTTATAAAGAATGTCTTTAATTCCAATTGCTGTTAAAATTACATTTATTTAAATATATATGAACCCCAGAAGAAATAAAATAAAAATGTATAGCACAGTAAGATTGTTTGCTTTGTGTTAGACTTTAGGAAAACCAAAGTCAGGTCTACAACTAGATTTAAAGACTTGTGCAGGATTTGAAATCTTTTTACAATGACTTGATTTTATTTCCTTCTCTGATTTCACTTAGCATTAAGTTGAGAAATATATGCAAGAGCAAATTCAAGACAGCTGCCTCTTGAAAAGAAATCAAAGCATGGAGATGCAGAGACACTAACATAAAAATATGCTTTTTTGATCTAAGATCACTGCTATACAGGACTCTCGGGCTTTTGGATAAAAAGTTAATGTAAGTAAAGCAAGTGTTACTGGTTTCCCTTCATCTATGAAGGTTTAGAAAAAGAAATGGCATTTCTGTTTTTCCCCTCTTCCAAGAGAAGACATTATCTTACTAGTTAGCATATACTTCACCTCAAACCTTGAAAAACAAATATTTATTTCCTTTTAGCTTAATGAACATATTTGCTTTGTTGGGTTTCTGGAGACTATCCTATAAAGATGAAGTAAAATTTAGATATAGGCTCTCTTTCATTGTCTTTCTCCAAACAAGATCATGTCTATGTTTTAAAACTCATTGTTATATTCTAATGACAGTGGAATTCTTTATACCATGGTATTTCAAACATGAAGTAGATAAATTTTAAAAGTTTGCCTGAGAAGCTGGCCACCTGTAGAGCGGAAATCTGAATCATTCATTTCTGAAGCATGTCTTCCTTCTGCCGTTGCCCCTTTCAACTAAAGCATGGGTTCTCACCTCGAATGCCAGGTGAAGGAAAGGGTCAGGTGAAGACTATGATGATTTGGAAACAAATGCCCACCCGAAGCATGAAGCTGGTACTCAGCTGGAACTGGTTTTTGGCATGTAAGAACTTAAGACCAGTGTTACCAGATCTTCCCATTTTTCATGATAATTCAGAGGTCACAAATTCACATGCTTTTGGGGACAGCAAGGTAGTGGAGGTGAGAGACCTTGCTGGTTCTGATGTTCATCCATGAACATATCTACTTTTAAAATGTGAAATCTGCATTTAAAGTGCTGTCTATTAATTTTTTAAAAAATAGTATTTGGGTCAGGCACAGTGCTCTGTGGTTGTGTCCTCAGAGCAAGGCCTTAATCACCCCTTCTTCTGGTGGCTACAGGGATGATGGGTGCAGGATGGGGCCTTTCTCTGAGGTATTGATCCATGATCCATGATTCCCTGAGACATCTTTTTTCCCCTGGGGTTACCTAACTAGATACCTACTGGCACGTGGCTCTTGAACGGAAGACCTGGCTGGTGTGATATCCGATATCCCTGGCAGAGACTGAACTCTTATAGCTTGGAATCTTCAGTACACTTTCATGTAGGCATTGATCACAGTGACCAACGACCTTAGTTTGGATATCTATGGAATGGGAGCAAACCACATATCTGATAAAGGGTTACTATTCAGAATATACAGGGAACTCCCATAACTCTAGCAAAAAACCCAAATAACCCAATTAAAAAATGAGCCAAGGAACTGAATAGACATTTCTCCAAAGAAATGAAAATACCCAAGGGGAATATGAAAAAATACCCGACATCAATCATCATCAGGGAAATGCAAATCATAACCACAATAAGATATCTACCTTAAATCTGTTAGACTGGCTTTAAAAATAAAAAAAGGAATAAAAAAGACCAGTGTTGGCTACGATGTGAAGAAATTGGAACCCTTGTATGCTATTAATGGAAACACAAACTGGTAAAGTCACTATAGGAAAGAATATGGAGCTCCCTCAAAAAATTAGAAATAGACCTACCTTATGATCCAGCAATCCCACTTCAGGGTACATATCCAAAGGAAATGAAATCACTACCTCCAAGAGAAATTTTCACTCTCATGGCTATCATCACAATAGCCAGGACATAGAAGCAACCAAAGTATCCAAGGATGGATAAAGAAGATGTGGTATACACATACAATGTCATATCATTCAGTCTTTACAAAGAAGGAAATCCTGTCATTCATGACAATATGAATGAACTGAAGAACATTATTCTGAGAGAAATAAGTCAGACATAGGACAAATACTACCTAACACTTAGATGAGGAATCTAAAATAAATAAAGTCATAGAAGCAGAGAGTAGAATGATGGTTGCCAGGGGCTAAGGGAAGGGGGCAACAGGGAGGTGTTAATTAGTAATAGAGTACAAAGTTTCAATTATGCAAGATGAATAAGTCCTAGAGATATACTGTATCACATAGGTCCTATTGTTAGCAAAACTGTATTGTATACTTAAAAATTTGCTAAGAAGGTAGATCTTACGTTAGATGTTTTTATCACACACTAAATAATAATAATAAATAAAAGGGGGAATATAAATAATACGTTTATGGCATAGATTATGGTAAAGGTTTTATGGGTGTATATCACCAAACTCAATAAATTGTCTATGTTAAATACATACAGCTTTTTGTATGTCAACCATACCTCAATAAAGTGGTTTAAAAAATCATTGGAACTGAGTTATAATTACTAGTAGCAAGGAACTGATAAAAATCATAGAATTATTAGTTTGAATTACATGAAATTGAAATTCACCTATTTTGACCTATAAAATGGCAATTTAATATGGTAACATCATGAATTTTGAAAATAATTATTAGACCTAAATAATCAAGTTTTATTTAATATACATACAATGACCTGAACAGAAAGAATTTATGTGAAAGCTTCTAGGGATTCTGATACCCTTTGAAGATTGATCCATACTCAAGGGATCTGAATGTGTCAGGTTAAAGTCAACTTAACAATAGTTTATTGTGCATGTATTATGTGCCAGATACTGATCTAGGTGCATGGCATATATCAACAGATAAAATATCTTCTTTTATTTTAGGATTCCTACTGTCATGGAAGGCAATTTACATTGTCATAGGGAGAAGCAGAGAAATAGGGATTTTAAGAATTTTTCTACACGTATCTTTTTTCTGCTGTAGCATCCAATCCAGCATACCACATCGAAACCAACTGTTATATCTCCTTAGTCTTCTCCAACATGTGACAGTCGTGCCTTGTCTTTCAGGACCTTGCCACTTGTGTGGCAGAGCGGTTAGGTATTTTGTAGGCTTTGTCTCAATTTAAAATTGAGTTTGTCTGTGTTCCTGTAACTGTGCTAAGATTCTAGATTTGGGAGATGGCCACCACAGAGATGATGGGGCTTTCTCATGGCATCCCACCAGGGGGTATGTGATCTCTACATGACTTATTATCAGTGATTCAGCTATGATCACTTGGTTGATGGGGGTGTCTTCCAGGATTCTTCTGTTCCTCAGGAGTGAGTCACTAGATCCGGCCTACACTTAAGTGTTGGGAATTAAGCTTCCCCTCCTAGAGGGAGGATTATCAAACAATTTGTGGACACATGGCAAAATCACTATAGTAATTGATAAATATTTGAGGAGATGGGTATTTCGAGGCTAGGCAAATAGTCTGTTTCTTTTTAAAGTTTAGCAATAGTCAGTGGATGTTGCCTGCAGAAATTATTGCTGTGGAGTTTTAATGGTGATATTCTGTTTCCTTCATTCCTTCCACATTTATCAATTGGAATTTTTTGTTAGAAGGATTTGTTTCTTCTTACCAGTGTATTTATATATTTAATTTTTTATTTATGTTACTATGGACTCATGGATTTTTCCTCTTTGAGTTATAGTCCAATACTACTATTATTTTGTTACTCAAATTGTTCCAACTTGGGCCATTGGAAAGTCTTTCGGTTTTGTTCTTGTGCCTTTTTGAAGTGTCCTCATTTTTTATAGTGTTTCCTTACTTTCTGGTGCTATAAAATACTCCAGACTTATCTTTCATTTTCTTGTCCCTAGCCCTAGAATTAGCCATTTCCCCAAGGAGCCCTGATACCTTAAATTGGAGAATGATATTTAGAAGCCAGGATCTTGGCACTATACCCCATTACTACTGGGATGCCACTGCTTGACCGTCCTTGCAGACAGAGCTAGGAAACAGATGTCTATCGTTAACCTAAGTGTGTATCACTAACCTAAGTTTCCTATGTTGCTGTAACAAATTACTGCAGACTAAGTGACTTGAACAACACCAATTCATCTTATACTCTTGAAGGTCAAAAGTCTAAAATAGACTTCAGTAGGCTAAAATTAAGATATTGACAGGTTAGTGTTACTTCTGGAGGCTATAGGAGAGATTTTGTTCCCTCACCTTTTCTGTCTCCTACAGGCCTCCTGCATTCCTTGGCTTATGGCCTTTTCTTCCGTCTTCAAAGTCCGCATCACAGCATTTCAGATCCACATCGCATCACTGTGACACTCTTCTTTTGTTGTGTGACACTGTCACATCTCCTCCTCTGACTCTTTTAAGGATGGCTGTGATTACATTGGACCCACCCAGCTAATACAAGTTAATCCCCCCATCGCAGGGTTCTAAATGTGATCACATCTGCAAAGTCCCTTTTGCCATGGAAGGTAACATATTCACAGGTTGCAAGGATTAGGATGTGGACATCTTTATGGACGAGTTATTCTGCTACCTGCCACTTTACATATGAACAGCTACTAAATTTATGTATGAATCTACCTGTGTTTACATATACTAAAATAAACATGGGTTCATACTGATCTCTGGATCTATTTTGATAATAGAGTCAATGCAATTTACATTTAGATTGGATGTGAGGGATGAAAGGAAGAGAAGGGTCCAGGATGAGCTAAGCTTTTGACCAGAGCAATGGGAAGAACAAAGCTGCTATCAACAGAGAAAAGCAGGACTATGGGCAGAGCAGCTTTTGTAGGAAAGAGCAAGAGTTTAGTTTTGAGAATGGTGAGGTTTAGATTTTATTTAAAATGCAAGTGGAGCTATTGACTAGAAGTTTGGGTATAAGAGTTTAGAATTTCGGAGGAAAGTTTGAGCTGGATATACAAATTTTAGAGCTATTGGCATATAGATTGCATTTCACGCATGGATGATATCACCAAAGAAGTGAGTGCAGATAGAGAAAAGATCCAAGGACTGAGTCCCAGCATTTTCCAGCTTTAAGAGATTGTAAAGAAGAGTAAAATGAAGGGGAGGGCAAGTTTAAACAGGTGGATTTTAGCTGCGTTGGTAATAGGATAAACCAGAACAGCTCTGACTTGAAAAGATTGTTTTATGATGGATATGTAACTTTAAAATGGATACTGAAAACCAGTAGGAAGAATACTTAGTATTAAAACATACAAGGATATCATCTTAAAAGTATTATATCAAATAAAATATTTTTCTCAATCTCAATAGAAGTCAGTATTTTTCT